AAGTATATTATAAGTATTTCGCAATTTTTAAATTAAATATATTTTAAGTATATTTTAAATATATTTTAAAAAGTTTTTAATTATATTTTAAATATAAATACTTTTTATAGGGATATTATCTTTAAACTATCTTTCTAATATGCTATCTATATTTTAAATACGCTATTTTAATATGCTATCTTTAATATGCTATCTTTTAATATGTTATCTTTTATGTTCCATCTTTTAATATACTTTCTTCCAATATGTTTCTATCTTTAATATATTATATTCCATCTTTTGTGGCTTATATCTTTTCGTATCATCTTTTATATTATCTTTTATCTTCTATATTATCTTTTATATTATGTTTTATAATATTGTTTTTATGTATTTTCATTATGCGTGTTCCTTTAATCCGCTATCCCTCCATTTTATATGATTTACCTTTTGTGGCTTATAATTATTCTTTCTAATTGTTCTTATTGTTGAATTCAATAAACTGGTTGCTAAGTCACAATTGATCGACTCCCTACTCAATCTATTGGTTTCTTGTTAATCATTCGATAAATATTACATCATGTAGATCATTTCTCTTCTTAAATGTTTATCTTTTTCGGCTAATCATTTATCCATTCACGCTGATTCAAGATTTGTTCGTTCGTACTTAATACTTAATGTTCACATTTGTCTATTTAGTATATTATTTGTTCATGCTAGGTATTCAACCGCTCACATCAGTTTAGTCAAATGACTAAATATTTTGGTTTCGCCCAGGATCTCTACTATAAGTATATTTACGAGAAACTTTATCTATACATATCATATAGGCTGATTTGTCTACCTTTAATTAAAATATTAATTTTATTACATTTTTATTATACAAAATACTATATAATATACAGTAAATTGGAAATGAGTATTAAAAAATTTTTATTTAATGTTATTATACTATAATTTGGTAAATATTTCTTTTAAATTAATATAATTCTTAGCACTTACTATATATATTAAAAATTTGTATCTCAACTTAAAACGTAAATATCTCCAGATCCAGTGATCCAATTGGCAAGCTCTTTTTTCGTTCATATAGACCAGATCAAAGGCTTTCCAAAGAGCCTAAATTTATAAAAAATGGATCAGTGGATCCCAAGATATTTGCATTTAAGCATGTTAAAAAGTTCATACGTCAACTTTAAACGTAAATATCTCTGGATCTAATAATTCAATCGGTGAGCTCTTTTTTCGCCTATAAAGTCCAGAACAAGGGCTTTTCAAAGAGCCTAAAATTATAGAAAGCGGATCAGTGAATCTTGATATATTTGCGTTTAAAGATGGTAATACAAACTTCGACATAAAATAATTATTTTTATTGTTTGAAAATATTTATTATGATACCATCTTTTATATGATATTTTTATTATACTTTTATAAACATTTATAGCTACTAAGGCTATATATATTTTATTAAAATATACTTACTTTTTAATAATATATGTTAAAAATTCCATATATATGAGAAATGGGTTTTTTATTAGTGAAATGGGTTTTTTCACAGCTCTTTTACATTTAATAATTTAAGTTTCGCAAATGTAAATTTTTGTTCAACTTAATATTTAGTCAAGTGATCATCAATCAGATGATTTTTTGGTATTACAAAACAATTTTGAGTAACAAAAATTGTAAAAATCAATCAATAACTCTTTTTAATGCAGAGTAGACAAATCAGCCCATATGTTTTTTTTATTTTGTACTAGTATACATCCAAAGTTTTGCATAAAACTTATTATATTATACATATTGGGCATAAGGTATTTAAAATTTTAATATGCAATTAATGTTCCAATCTGACAGATATCCGTCATCTGTTTATCTGATCTGATTGAAATTCATCATCTGGAATATCCGCATAAGTAGGGTTGGTAAAGTCGGTCCTAGTCCAGTTTTAGTTCTAAGACTTGCAAGTCCTATCTGATGGATCTACAAACTAAGTCCATATATGATTAGTCCAGGACTTGTGTTCGACCAAGTCCG